GATGTGCCAGTATTTTTCTGAAATCATGCAGGTTCTTTAATTTGCTCACCTTTGAGGACGATGGATCCTCGAGACTCCCCAAGCTGATTCCGCGCGACGCATTCATACCTTCCGAAGTCGGAACCAATTACTTTTTGAATCCTGAGGACTGAAGTTGTTCGATGATTCTTGCTGGTTGTCCTAATGGAGTGTCTGTGAAGTTAAAAATAAGAAAAATGACGATTTTCAATTATAATTGATGTTCATATATTGTGAAAGTCTCAGTAGTGGATGAAAATTCGGTTTCGGGATGGTCGACGAGGCCCTCAAGGAACCAGCAAGCACATCAACTTATTATTTGAATTTCCTTAGAAAACAGAAAGGAGGGTTTAGGTTTTTCTTGGGATTAGGCTTTTGGCTTGATGTTGAGTTGAGGTTTGGCCAATTAAGTATTATTTGAAAAAAATTTTCATGTAAAATTCCATGTTTTGAGTCTCGAAGTTTAGAGTAGAAATACTCTATACAAAATTTTGAAACATCACATGAAGCTAAATTATTTGCTAATACTGAATGCTACACGGGTTTCGGTTGACTTCAAGTTTGAATTTTCATAAATTGATGATGAAACTTTGATTCCTCGAAAATTTGCACATCATCAAGTGGAACAGGAGTTGTTGCAGCACAGCAACAACTCACACAGCAGTTATTACTTTTTACTAATTTATCAATTTTTCACGCGAATAAGTCTAAGAAAATTCATCATATTTGTTGCGCCTAGGTTCTCTTCTGTCAAGCATTAAATTTATTTTTTCATTATACACATTTGAAAAAGGCACAGAAAATGAGAAGAGAAATTTGTCCCTATGCTGGAAATCCCTCTGGTTTGTTCTTTACGTTTCAGTATGAAGGAACACAATTTGATTCATTCAGTGGATTCAATGGCTATCGTTTGAGTCGTCAGGCAAAAAAGCCAAAATATTTCACGAAAGTGGTGCCAAGTTATTCACTTTAGAGACCCACATTCTTTGTAATCTCGAAAATCCCAGGACGCACTTGTCAAACAATTTTGGAGCATGGCCTTCTCCTGGTGCAGGTTGAAACAAATTTACATTGCAGAAAAATGTTGAATAATAAGTCAACTATGTCAGAAAAGAGGGAAATAGAGAGGGGGGAGAGAGAGAGAGAGAAAATATCAAAAATATCCAGCCTCGCCGACACAAAAACGCGTGAAGCAATGCATAGATGTTAGTCTTTCACAATCGACATTCTTGCACTATATGAAGTACAATTCTATGGATTCCAGTCAAATTTTATTGCAATATAACTTCAGTGATATTTCAAAGTAGCCTTGCGATTTGACCATATCCCGCAATTCTTCCATCCTGCAATTGGATGCTCAAATTTCTGGGGAGGTCAACTTGCGATTTGACTCCTGTCCCACAATTTGACCCAAATAATAAGGGAAAAAAATTAATTTGATGTTGACTCATAATTTGACCACTTCACAATTCAACCCTAGTCCAGCAATGGATTAGAGTCAAATTGTAGGGCACCACGTGTATGTTCTACCTGAACAAAATAATCTTGAATGCATATATTTCTTGGCAAGGAGATGTAAATCAACCAAAGACGCATACGTCTGCTCTTCATCAAACTTTCCTGCCTGTTTGTATATACCGTAGCTTGGCAAATGAAATCAGAGGGAGAACAAAATGGCACAGTGAAATTGGTTGCGTGTACTTCGTTCCGCTACGTTGCACCAACACAGTATACACCTAAACGCGATAGAATAGAGCAAAACACCGGGTTCTGAGGGATTCGTTCCAGGGGTAAACCCTTGGTCTGCTCACTATTACTTGGCAGACGACGGTTGGTCTCATCCATCACTGCGAGACGCGCCCACCGTTTCACGTATCCCAAGGATCCCTGTTTTTCTTTCTTTCTCGGGCTTCACTCCATAAATACAGGGCAACACTGAGGTGGCATTTCGTGCGCCAAAGTGAAGTATGCTATCCGAGTTTTTCGAAGTCTTTTAGAGTCGAACTAATAAAGCAAAACCTCAAGCTAGACACCCTCCACGCACGATAAGAAGAATGCGGGAATTCACTTGGACAACTCGCGGCCTCCTCGAAATGATCTCGTTATTGAAAGAAAATTCAAAATGCAACCCATCAGAAAGTTTCTTATTCATGCCTTGCTTGACCAAGTCATTCAATTTGACCCAAAAGTTGAACAAAAAGTATCCTTGCAACGTGACTCAAGTAATGTCCAACATAATTAGGGTATCTGATTGCGCATATACGGTAAAATTTAAGGACGGGCATGCATGTGGACGATGACTTGCTCGTCAATATTTAGGTAACGTCATTCAAATTATCTCTAGCCGCATCCGCAATAAAACTTGGTCAAGTTAAGCGTATTGATCATTCACGCTTTCGATCACTCACGACTTTCAAATATCGGGCAAGAGGATCATGTCGTCTTCCAAAATACTGGAGAATCCATTTTACAAAAACTTCATTTCTCGGGCAACCATCGCCGTCGAAAATATTTGTGAGTTACAGTATTTTTGGGGTTGAAATAAAATAGGGCTTCAATAAACTGGAAGCGTAGCCCTTGTGTTCTGTTTTCAAATCGTGAGGTGTAATACAGCGGAGCCTCTTTGAGACGATCTTGAGGGATCTAGCTAAAACTTAAATTTTAGGGAGTTTTCAAGTTTGGGAAACAAGCATGTTCGCCAAGGGAAAGAAAAAAGAATGACATGCAATTGTAATTTTTGATATTCTGGGCCTTTGCTTCTCAAATGAGATGACAGGATGCTGACCGTGGATGCAAGGGTTTTTCTGCCAATTCAGTCTTTCATTTCTTTTCAGAACACATCCAGTTATATTTTTACTGTGATTTTCTCTCCT